CATGGTTTTTAAAGCTAATGCATGGTGGGCAAATGATTGATCAATTTGGCTTGTTTTATTTGCAGGATTGGTGGTAGTGTCTAGAGTATCAAAGGATATGACCAAAAATCAGAATGGTGGATAAATACAATGAACGTTTTTTTTTGTGAAATTGAAGATTAAAAGTATATTTAGAAGAGTGATTTAATTGCTCTCTAAAAATTGATTAAGGTAGGTTCGTTGAATGAATCACAATCAATATATGTGGTTTGGCACTGCACTAATTATAAAAATTATAACGAGAGAAATAAATATTTTGTGAGTATAGTATCACTTCAATCTCAACATCACCATTCTAATTATTTCAATCTTATTCTCATTTAAAAAAAAAAAAAAAAAAAAAAAAAACCCTAAAAAGGGATATGAACCTAGGTTGGAGCCAAGGTAGACCTATAAATTCAAAAAACATTATAAGTAAGTATATATGTGGAACACGACTTATGAACAATTGCCTTTTTGTGCTGTCTTTTTTGGTAAAAATTACAAATGAGAGTACTTGCAATGACGAGGTCATAGATTTGGAGCATCTCATGTATAAAGGGAAACCGGAGGTTTAGGTTAGTGGAGGATCCATCCATTCCATCAAAATTAGATCTTGTCATGAGAAAATAAATAAATAAATTTTAAAAATATTATTTATACTATTTTGTGCACGTCATCTATCATGTAGTGTGATAGTATAAGTAAACAAAGTGGTGAATCTTAGATTATTTAGACGGAGAATGAGATTTGAACCTATGACATTCCATTTAGAGAACAACAATTATACTGTTTAACCACAAAGTATTTGACAAACAATAAAAGAAATTCTTTATTTTTAATAACTACATATAAATTGATCGATTTTATCATGTATTAAATATTCAGAAGTGATTATTATAATTTTTTTTAAAGTAACAATACTCTAAATAAATAAATGAAAATAAAGTAATGAAAGGAAAAGAATACATATCAATTGAACATATGATTTCATTTTTTTTTTTGTTTATTATTCTATGTTCGGTAGGGATAATGAAGTTCTATAATCTTGTATCATCAAGTGTTAAATAAAGGGAGAAACTAGATAATAAAAAAAATCAATACATTTTCTCAAAAAAAAAAAAAATCAATACATTAAGTATGAAAAGAAATATAAAATTGAACAAATTTGTAATATACAATAAAATAAGTATAATGTACCAGTTATTATATTTAATAATGATGTTAGCAAGTAGCAACCAGTGGGGTTATACAACAAGTTTACTATCACAATAACTCGAGTTCAGATCAAATGTACATAATTATCTTGAGTGACGCTAGGTGGAAATGTTAAACTTAATGTACAAAAGAGAAAACATAATGTACGGAGTGTAAGTTAATTTTACATTTACACATTTAGTTACATTAACAAATTTTAATTTCTATTTTTATTAAAATTTTATCATTTTGACTAATATATATATATATATATATATATATATATATATATATATATATATATATATAGGAACAGATGCGACAACCTCCACTTGTGTAGTTGTGTGAACATATATGCAGGGGCGGATTGACAATGGAGGTAGTGGGGGCGGATTGACAATGGAGGTAGTGGGGGCGGCTGGCCCCCTCCCCTCTCCCTGCATCCCCTTTTATATGTGTTGTATGTATAGACCCCTTATATATATATATATATATATATATATATATATATATATATATATATATATATATATATATATATATAGACTAAACATGTATAAATACTAGATGTACAAAAATTGAACCAAAGGATGAGTTAGCTTATATGTTTGGGTCTATGTTAGTGTGTAAAGTGTCCTAGGTTTGAATCTTTAGGGTATTAATTTTCTAGATTTTATTATTTGGCCTTTTTGAATATTAATAGTGAAATTATAATTGTGATTTATGAGATTAATTATATGTAATATTGGGGTTTTTCTTTTAAATATTAATAGTGGGATGAGTGATTTATAATGTAATTTTTATTTGAACTATGTTTTTGTTTTGAATATTTTTTTATCGTGTTTTAATATTATTTTTTGTTTTTTTTTATCCCTAGTCAACAATATTTATGGCTCAGCCTCGCAGTGTTTCATTTTATTTTTCTTTCGCCTCACTGAAGAAAATTTCTGGATCGGCCCCTGCATATATGGACCATTGGATGAATTGAACTCAAATCAACTCTTAGAAATCAATGAAAATGAGAAAAAGTTCAGTGACATTTTTGTAATTTTCTACACCAAGTATATGTTTGTGGTGTGCTAAGTAATAGTCTATGGTGCACTAAGCTAAGGCTGGTCTATGATGCACTATCAAATGTTGGTCTGGCCGTTGGGGTGCTCACGGGAATGTTTGATGGTGCATTGGACTCAAAACATCATAAAGCATATCTAAATGCACCAACATATCACTGAAATTGTCAAATGACACTGTATTTTCCTCACTTTTTTTTTTATTATTGATTTTCCATCTTTGATCTAAGCTCATCCAATGATTTAAATTCATCCGCACGTTCACATGAGAGGAGACTGACGCACCTAAATCGGGCTATATATAAAGATAAGATAGTGCTACATGCATTCATATAAATACAAATGACTTTTTACTATATGTATGTAATATTGGACAAGAGAACCTTGAATGCTAGAAATTTGTCGGAAGATGTTTCTTCATCCACTATCCATGCACTTGTCAATGTACAGAGGATGTGACCCTCATTGTTCAGATACTTCGAACCCACAAGAATTTCATTTTTTTTTGGGGGGGGGGGGGGGGGGTGGTGGGGTTTCTTGAATTGTATACTTCATCTCACACAATTTTAACATGCTTATAATCACTCAATTATATCCAATCTTTGCAAGCCCACTTAACTAGTCCCACATTGGTTGAAGTGTAAAAGATCAAGTTTAACACTCCAAAATATAGTAATGATTTTAAAGTATAAAAAAAATTTACATTTTTCGTATTTTTTAATATTTACTATTATATTTCGTCCAAAAAATCAAGTAGTCTCTCCTAAAGTCCTATTATAAAAGTCATTTTCCACATAGGACTTTAGGAGAGACTATTTGATTGTAATAGAGTCAATAGTGTTAAAAAAAATACATTATTCGTGTACTGAATATACATTATACAAAATAATGTAAGTACTCAAATAATGTACTTTCCATGAATACAATGTACATTTTTAATATGTTAAAAGTACATTATTTGTATACTGGAATTGAAGGCATATTTTACTGTGGATCATGGTGCATGTAACAATGTGGTCCATGAAATAAGTATCACTTTAATTACACTTTAGGGTCCGTTTGGAAAACAGGAAAATGACTTCTGGAAAATGAGTCATTTTCCATAAAACATTTTTCTTTCCAGTGTTTGGTTGCATTTTTGGAAAACTTGGTGTGTTAGTTTATTTTCTCGAAAAATGAGTAGAATTGTATGTTTAAACATTTTGGAGGAAAATGACTTCCCCCAAATTTTGGCAGAAGTCATTTTCCACCAAAATGGCTTCATTTTCCCCAGTCAACGGAAAATGGCTTCATTTTCCGTTGACTGGATTTTTCTATTGCATCCAAACACTGAAAACTTAGAAAATATTTTCCAGAAATTATTTTCGGTTTTCCAAACGGATCCTTAGTTTCATTTGACAATATTGCTCTGTTTTTCAGTTTCATTTTCAACACACACTAGTTTCATTATAGCAATACTAAAAGTATCATTTTAATTATACTACAGTTTCATTTGACAATACATATTATTGCATGAGCTCTATTTCGTAGTTTAATTTTCCACCCACCCTAGTTTAATTATAGTAATATTAAAGTACTATTCTAATTACACTCTAGGTTCATTTGACAATATATGTTATTGTATGACTCTGAGTCTCTAAATTTTAGTTTCATTTTCCATACAGAGTAGTTTCATTATAACAACACTAAAATATCATTTTAATTATACTACAGTTTTATTTGACAATATACGTTATTGAATGATCTCTGTTTTTTAGTTTCATTTTCCACACACACTAGTTTCATTATAGCAACACTAGAGTATCATTTTAATTCTACTACAGTTTCATTTGACGACCATGGTCCACAGTATAACAACTGTTATTTGAAAGTATGGTCCACACAATGAGTCGTTATATCGTGGACCGTGGTGCACATGCACTGCGGTAAAAAAAACATCGCCGTTTCTTTAAGTAAAGAAACGGCACGCGTTAGTGTTAACGGAGCGCGATTTTTTTGTATGTTAATTACCAACTGACACTACAGTATATCTAAACCGACACTGCCTCGCGTATTATTTTTATATTATCAAATGAAACTGCAATTATATCAAAATTATACTGTAGTTGTGGTGAAATGAAACTGCAGTGTATATAAAATAAAACTGAATAACATTTCACATATTTGATTGTATATTATACAATGAAGCTGTAATTATATCAAAATGATCATGTAGTTGTGTTTTAATAAAACTATAGTGTATATAAAATAAAATTAAATAACATTTTCACATATTTGAATCTATAAATATCGAATGAAACTGTAGTTATATCAAAATGAAACTGTTGTTGTTTTGATATGAAACTGCAGTGTATACAAAATGAAAATAAATAAGAGAGTTACTTTTTGCGGAAGGGTGTGGAACAGAGAAAAACAGATGTCGTTTCTTTTCATTAAACAAAACGACATCGTTTTGATGCGCAGTGCATAATTGATTATGCATCGCGGTGCACGATATAATTTGCCCCCAACACAATAAGGCCAAAGTGGCAACATAGTTATCACTAGCTTGAAGTTGGGCTTAAGCTCATGCTTCAAAATTTACTATAAACAGGCCAAAATACATTTTATAAAAATCCAAAAAGTTTCATTATTTTGGGCTGTTTAAGCCTAACTTAGATTTGGGCTTAGCCCAGACAATCTTATAATATATCTTTTTTTTTTAGTAACCCAATTTCTAAAACCCTCTTTTCTCCATCGTCTTCTTCATTCGTTCATCTTCAACCATTCTCAAACCCTTCAATTGTCGTCTGGACCAGAAATCGGTTGAAATCGACCAAGTTAGGCTAACACAACCTCTTCAAAATGTTGAGGAGGAACGTAAGGATGAGGAGGGAGTACCTCTACAGGAAGAGTTTGGAAGGCAAAGAGCGTTTGCTTTATGAGAAGAAACGCAAAATCAAAGAAGCTCTTGAAGGTTCAGTTCGTTCAATTTGTTTTTCCGCCGTTATTATAAGAATTGATTACAGGAAAAAGTTTTAACTTTTGGTTTTTGTTGATTTATTATATGGACTTTAATCATAGTTTGCCTTTTTGGTGTGCAGAGGGAAAGCCGATTCCAACTGAACTCAGAAACGAAGAAGCAGCACTTCGACAACAAATTGACCTCGAAGACGAACATACTGCTGGTATGCTTCGCAGGTTTCTTGTATTTAAAAATCTTGTTTTTGCCACAAAGCAACAGTCTTTCTCTGCTTATTTTACTGGAAAACTACAAAATAATTTCTTTGAGTTGCTTGTAATGTGAAAATAGGAAAAGAGTAATTTCCAGATTCTCAGATTGAGAGTGTGGCATTGAACTGTCAAAATGAAGAATGAATGAATTAAAATACTCTAGTTGAGGTTAAGTTGCCCATTCTAATGGAAGAATGAGATTTGTAGAAAAATGTATAACCTGTGAATCAGTTCACAGAGCCCTGAAAGTTTGGTTTAAGTAATTATGAGGGCTAGCCTGCGTGCCACATTTGGATAAGCACCCATATGCTAACTTTTTTGTTCTTTATATTCCATGCATATGTACATGAAAACAAAGTTAATGTTTTCTAAATTCATTTGCATTTGGCATGCAGTACCAAGGTCTACTATTGATGATGAATATGCTCATGCTGCTGAAAAGGATCCCAAAATTTTGATTACCACGTCCCGCAATCCAAGTGCTCCTCTTACTCAATTTGCAAAGGTTGCTCCCTCCTGCTGATTATCTAATGGTCTTCTGTATACAATCATAATCCAAGTTTTTTTTTAAAAAAATAAAAATTCTTTATGCAATTATATGGTTTCTCTGATTTATCTACTTCCTCTGGTCCTTTGGACAGGAATTGAAGATTGTATTCCCCAATGCAACACGAATGAATCGTGGTGGTCAGGTTGGTTGACCTTTCAGTTGTACTGTCTTTTCTTTTTTGATTCTAGAGTTCGTTAAGGAAGGAATCTCTTTGAACTTAGATTTCAATACTTCATTTTCATCAATATAGGACTAGTTATTTTTTATGTTTTGCAACATTCATGGACCTCATCAATCCAAACAGAACCTTATGGCCTAGTTAACTATTTATGTGGAGTTAACACTATCATATTTCTGAATGTGCTTTGTTTGTACCCTTCTTGAGATCTTCTATTCCTCAGTAGGGTATATGTATACGACTAATTTGATAATTAAATATATTTATTTTTGCATGAGTGAAATTCTCTATTTCAATGGTTCTCCCAGTTTTTACATTAGATTGAGTAGCTGTTATGAAACTTATTATAAGCTGAACTTCAAATAGATGATTCTGATTTCCGAGAGACTAACCATCTTCATTCTTGTTTTCTTTGTGTAATGTAAACTTGTCTCATATGTCATCACCTAAAGTTGTGGCAATTTTAATGTAACATTGTGGTCTGTTATCTGATTGCTTTTGTCAAATGTTTGCTTTATAAGACATTGTCAGTAAAATATTTAGAATCATATTTAATTCTTTGTAATATATTTTTATACCTACTAATGAGGTACCTTGCACACTTCCAACTTTGTTAATTGTTTCTGCTATGCAGGTAATATCAGAAATTATTGAAACCTGCCGTTCTCATGATTTTACAGATGTTATTCTAGTTCATGAGCATCGAGGTATTCCTGATGGTCTTATCATCAGTCATTTGCCTTTTGGTCCAACTGCCTATTTTGGATTACTCAATGTGGTGAGTTGTCTTAGTCGTACTTGTAATGATTTATAAGTCTTATTCTTCCTATTCTTATTGCTGTTCTGAGGACCAGCAAGCTGTAGGAGGTAGTCTGATATGTTACTTTGTTGTAGGTAACCAGACATGATATTAAGGACAAAAAGGCTATGGGAACCATGCCTGAGGCTTATCCTCATTTGATATTAAACAACTTCTCAACTAAGGTAATATTTTAAATGTAGTCTGGCATGCTTCCAAGTGAGCAAGATCCATGAAACAATAATTTTCCTATCTTTTAGGCTTTCTTTCTCTGCTCTTGCTGAAACAAGAATACCTTTTTATGATTCATATTTGTCCTTTTTCCATATTGAGTAGCTTAATACTGTTTGCAATTGTGTCAATCTTTTGACTTGCAGCTTGGTGAAAGGACGGTAAATATTTTAAAGCATCTGTTTCCGGTCCCAAAGCCGGATACGAAGCGTATTATCACATTTGCTAATCAATCAGACTATATCTCATTCAGGTTGGTTGTAATTCATTTTTACCGTTGTTTAGTTTTTGCTATGAATTCTGAAATGTTTCAGACCTAAATTTTTAGGTAGTGGCTTGCTTAAATTCTGAAAGGCCTCAATGTTTGCTGTAGCAGTAATAAACAAAACCAATACTAGATCCATGCCCATGGTACATAATAAAAATGTAGGATGGGAGAGGAGTGATTAAAGAAAGCCTTCTCAAAAGATTGTAAAAATATCTTATAAAAGAAATATAATTGTCCATGGTTTAAGCTGTGTAGCCAACAGCTCTTTACTGATAATTGAAATATACAGTTTTCTAATCATGTTTTATGACAATAAGCTTTCTTTCTTCAGTGCTTTATTAAATGTTGCGTATTACACTTTATCATAAATAAAGTTCTCTTTGCTGAAATGATCTCTCAAGGGTAACAACTCATACACTACTTTGGCTTAGGACAATTGAGATCACTTACCTTCCTCTTGATGTTGGTTGCTTCTTGGCTTTATTGTGCATTAAACTATATAAAAATGTGCAGACATCATATCTATGAGAAACGTGGAGGTCCCAAATCAATTGAACTCAAAGAGATTGGCCCTCGATTTGAACTACGGCTTTATCAGGTAACTATTATACAACTAAAAGTCTTCGCCGATCAATCTAATGAAATTGTTGCTTTTAAGTGGTTATTTGAAGTGGAAACTGATGCTTTCGAGAAGCTTTTACCTTGCATTGTAGAAATTAGCTTGTCGTACAGGAAAGGGGATAAATCCACTTATGCATTCATATTCCTGGAAATATTTTAGTACAAGAAACTTTATCATGAGATTGAAATAAATTTAGATCTTTTCATTAATACACTTTGTGGTATAGCAGACGAATCTTTGAGACCCTTTGGATTTGTTTATGAAGAGAGCAGATGTGCAGATGAATTCTTTTAATAAAAATTCTTGCTTAGATTCTTCATTTCATGATTAGTAGATTGCACAGGTTTAGGAGAAAACACGGTATCATGCCATTGTTCTTTTAACCCTCTTGGTGAGTGGCAAGAGAACTCATTGTGGTGTGCCTTTCTTACTTTTCCCCCGCAGATCAAGCTAGGAACTATGGATCAAGATGAAGCTCAAATTGAATGGGTCATAAGACCATATATGAACACTTCCAAAAAACAGAAACTTCTTGGAGACTGAAAGAATCAGAGTCTCATTCTACACATCAACCAATTTTGCCAGTAATGAGAGCAATGTAATACCAACAGGTGTGTGTTTCTGCTGTTAGGTTTGGTAAAAGTTTGTTACAATATGATTGCTATGTGGGTTGTTTTCAGAGGGGCGATGAATACATTCTGCCTAACAATCTCTTTAGGACATCACATAGGGCATTAGTTTGGATTGTTTTCTTTATCAATGATTTAGTTACCTCTTTTGCCCTTTGTAATATTTGGATTTAGGGAGGTGAAGCTGGGGAGTTGGAAATTGTATTTTTATAACTATAATTATACTTTTGTTAGTGGATGCATTCTTATATTAATCTGGTTATTATAGATTCCTGTTAACTGATAACTTCCTATTTGAGATCTTATTTAATAAATAATTAAATATTGAGTTTTTTTAATCTAAAAATTATTCTAGGATTTGAATTTGGAGTTTATATTTTAGTGCTGGATGTTTTCTATTTTGATATTTATATTAATTATTATACTAGTCTTTTCTATGCGTGATGTGCAAAAACATATGCCTAATATTTATATTTTTTAAAATAACTAACAAATCTCTACTAATTAAAATCTATATAAAATCAAATTTATTTATTATAATAATAATTCATTATATAATGTCTACAAATATTATTATCATTAAAGAATATAAGAAACTATATGGTGGAGGCATGTGCATGGAAACAAAATGGAGAAGATAACGGTATGAGTATTTTTGTTCAAAAAATTATATAGTACAATTTTAAAAGCACAATGTACAAAATAATTAGCATTAAAAACATGGACATAAATAAGAGATATAATTTTAATTAAGACTTATTATGTTTTCAGAATATAAAAATCATTATAAGTAAAATTTATGTTTAATACCATAATTCCTGGCAAAACAAGAGTCTTTAGCATCATTAACAAGATTGTGCATATTATTTTTACTTTTTTATTCTATATTTTATTATTAATGTGACATGTTTTTTCTTCCTTCAAATAAAATTAACGAATGTGATGAGAGTTTTATTTCTTGGAAATATTCCATGTTGAAATATACTCTCATCGCTGTTGTTAGAATCTTGAAATTGGTGGCCAAATAATTTAGAGACAAATTTGATTGATGACATGTTTTGGAGTCAAATCAGAAGTCTTAATCCGTCACAATTAAATACTCCGTAGTCTTTAGCTCAATAATTTTCAGCAATCACCATCATGTTTAAGAAAGATTGAAACGACTCCATTCCATAATGTTTATTATATAAAAAAAAAAAATTCATGGATTCTCATTTTTTACTTCCAACTTTTACTCCTTACAAATTCTTGATGTAAACACTTTTTCTAGGACCCACATGATGAAATTATCCAATTCTTGTTTGTCATATCATGAAGTAAAAGTGAGGAAGTAGAATTTGGGAATACATACAGTAGAATTATTATTATATATATCTTCTATTACTTGACTGATCAAAAGTTGTTTAAAATTTATTTGTAATACTTTACAAAACATAATAATAAAATCTTATAAGGTAATTTATATATTATTATTTTTTCTTTAAATTTTTGTCATACTAAAAAATAAATAAAAAGTGATAGCGACGAAAGCAGGAAAATGACCCATGAAATGGCATCGGAAGTATGATTTGTTCCAAAATCAAAGTCATGTATTCAAATAAATCATTATAACACACGATTATGACACAATAGACAACAGTGGAAGGGTTAAATAGAAACTCCATTATCACACACAAGACTCCACCACCACCAAATGCTTCTAACTCATGGACTAAAATACAACATACATGATAGGTATAGATAGTGATTTTTTTTCCCCCTAAATTTTTGATATCATATTTAAGTGATTTAAGTACCTTTCTATAGAGTAATGCCTGCCTTTTGATTATTTACAATTACCTATACACATCTAGTGGATTGAAAAGTCTTAATGTATACAATTAATTGCCTACCTAAATATAATTACAATTGATAAAAATTGTACGTGTTTGTAGTTAATATATTATGTATGTGCATGCAGTTAACAGATTATATATGTTAATTATATGCACATAATATTTTAATTACAGACATATAATATGTAGTTCACAAATTATGTGTTTATTAACTCAACGCACATGATATGTTAATTATAAATACATAATTTTTGAAGCAAAATCTACAATGCAAGGTGGACTGATCTGATCCATGGTATATATAACATTAACTATAGTATGTTGGGTGTTAACCTTTTCTTACAAATAGATTCAGTAACCAACATTGGGAATTATTATATGTATCCTTTTCAATAATGTAATATAACAAATCATTAATCACTTCATGAATTATATATCCACGTCTATCATATCGTCTTCAAAATTAATAACCAATTTTTAGTCTAGTAGTAAAAAAAAATACTTTTATAAAAGTTTGAATATATCAAGAGCATATGATATTGACAAAGTATGAACATATACTACATTGTAACATAGTTAATATTACAGTATTAAAAAAAAAAAGATATTAATATTTTTTTTTATTGAATTGATTGCAATAAAAAAAACAATTGATACAGCAAAATAACTCGGGTTTAAGGTAGTGGTAATACTGCATTACAGGGCAATAAATTAACAGTTGACGGAGACGTTAACTAACTCGGGTTTAAGAAGCGGTGACTTCACAACGCTGGGAGAGCTGGTATTTGACGGCGTTACCGACGACGACGCCGCCGTATCTCGGCGTAACTCCGAACGGAATGTAAGCCGGACAAGTGACATGAAGGTGATAACGTCCGGTAATGACCGTCCCAACTTTCCACCTGACACGGCCGCTAAGTTTGACGGTGAGCCAGACGGCGCCGGCAGCCTGGTCCTCCCTGAGCTGGGGGCCGTTAAAGGGTGCAATGGGGACGTTATTGCCGTAAAGAAACGGCGACCAGAGGTTGACGTCCTTGTGGCCTTGATACACGGCGGGGATGACGGTGTAGTAGGTGATTTGCTGGTCGCGATAGGTGGCGTAGACGTCGAGGTTGTCGTAGTAAATTCCGATCCGGGAGTTAGGGTTCCGGGAGGAGACGGAGATCTGGAGGGTGGTGGAGAAGATGTTGGGGGCGGAGACGTTGAAGTTGAAGATGGTGGCGTCTTGGAGGGTGAAGCGTGGCTTCTTGGGCTGGAGAATTGCCCAGATGATGAGGATGGTGAGGAGGATTATGAAGAGGAGGATGAGGAGGCAGCCGCAGAATCGCTGCACTAACTTCTTCTTCCGCTCCTTGTGCTGGGTGCACTCCTTCACTGACATGTTTTCCCCGGCGGCGCACGGCGGAGGAAACTGGTTTGAGTGAGGCAGGAGAAACGGGGACCGGAAAATGTGGTGGGGGGAGCTATGTGTAAGTAGTAGCTGTATATATATATGTTCATATACATATAGGCCTGCCAAAGCTATAAATAAAAGTTATTGCTAGCCGCCTTGAGTTGCATATGAGGTGCATGTGTAACTACTCTTATGTTGGGATGATTGTTAAGTAATGTTTGTTGATTGGTAGAGACATAGGGGATGTTAATTAAGATCTACTATGTCAAGAGAACAGTGAATCACGTGGCTCATAGCTTGTTCGGGTAACTGATTCTTTGTCTGTCTTGCAGTCGTGGGGTGTCATTCCACCTGATTGTATTGCTGGCTTTTTGCCTCATTAATGAATGTTGTTTGTTTGTTTTAAAAAATTAACGAAATTTGGCTTCCCTAAATTGAAGATTGGACTTTTCCAGTGGGAGCATGAAGATGGATCCCTTGTACGTAGAGTCAACGATAAAACTAGGTAAGAAGTTTTTTCGACCATTTGAGATTTACCTTCTCAAGTAACTCTTGGGTAAGGGTTCGGGGGTTTAGGATTAGTTAAAACTAAACAAAATCCAAGTGTACAAGGCTATTGAGTTGGTAACATCAACCAAACTGATCAAGTTATTAACTTGGTAATTTTAAGGTTACAAGTTCGACTCAATTCAATATTCTATTTAGCGTATATTATTTGACCATGTTTGCTAAGCTACTGAATCACTGTAATTTACATCTTTACAAATATTTTGTCAGGCCAGAATGTAAAGACTTATTAGATTGGGGATTGAATCTTTTGGGGAAGATAGTATGTAAGAATAGTGAAGACGTGAATTATATTAATGAGGGAGGAATGATGGCCCTAATGACTATAATTGATGAATTAATGGAGCATGCAAGTATGGACGAATGACACGCTTTATTTGAGTCATAGAGATGGGCCTACTTATCATGATAGGGAAAACCTACCAACTCACCCCACCGACAACTAACATTTCTCATATATTTCCACTAAGCTAATTAAACAACTTAATCATGTAATTCATTATATATAATTTTTTATAGTTTGTATTTTTATTATATGGTGTCATATATTTATTATTTTTTGTCCAACCATAGGTGCATTAACTCGAGCTAGACTCCTCTAGTGAGAAAAAAGACCCATGACATCTTATTCATGTCTCATGAGTATAAATGATATTATTCGATTGAGCATAAGGCTAAGATAACATTTAATCATAGAGTTAAATAAAATCCACAGAATTATTTATTTAGAGCCCAACGTAACATATAGCTCAACTAAGGCAAATTATGTTGTGGACTCGGGTCCAAAACAGTGTCATTTTGAAAGCCAAATAACGTCGTCTGAATTTAAAAAAAAAAAAAAAAAATTGCTTCCTTCCTCTATATTCACAATTTTTAAACTCTATATTCACAATTGCAGGACTTTATATTCATAATTTTTGAACTCTGTATTCACAATTACAGAACTCTATATTCATAATTTCATAACTCTATAGTCGCAATTACAAAACTCTATATTCACAATTACAAAGCTATATATTCAACAGTATAACACAATTTTTGAATCTATATTCACTATTTTTTAATTTTATATTCACAATTTTTAAACTATATATTCACACAAAAAAATATCATGAGCTGAGAAAACAGAGCCACTAACAACACCATTATTCCAGACGCGCAAAACTGCATCGTTTTGAACCTGGATCCACTGGACTCGGGTCCATGCCATAACAATTGCTCACCCAAAGACTAAGAGTAAGACTTAAGACTACTACATTTATACAACCAACCAACCACTCATTAACAATTGCTTGCAAATATATTATTCTTGCTGTCGGTTTTACATTATATATGCATTGTATATTCAAAACTCACATAATTTTATCATTACTCTTTCTTTCTTTCTTTCTTTTTTTTTTAATAAAAAACATAATAATTGAAAAAATCCCTTTATCAATTCTGGAAGAGAGAATCGTTAATCATTTTTTCAAACTTTAACAAAAATTATATATTATAATCTTTTTCTCATCATCTCGGGACATAAACTAGTATAAGATAAAATAATGTCTTGTATTTATTTGTCTTGTAGAAAAAAAAAATTCTCTTAGTCTTATAATTAGTTCTGATGAATTTAAAATATATTATACATACCAACTCAATTAATTTAGGGGGAAAAAAAAAAAAGAATAGTGTACAGTGCAAAAAGGTGTTGAAAGGGCAGTGGATAAAATAAGCATATTTCAGCAGCAAAGAAAGTAAATTAAAATGATAATAATAGAATATTCCGGCGGTTCCCCACAATCGCATAAGCAGTGAAGTGAAATGCGATGATGTTTTTAGAACCTTATCCAATTCCGATATAAGGTGCAAATCCCAAAAAGCTGAACTTTTTTGTGTCAGACAACATAGTTATTCTCAAAGTCCCTACATTATCATCCTTGAACTTCGTGAACACCCCTTTTACACTGTTACTCTCCAATAACTACAATTACACCATTTACGCTACGCCTATACAGTGCTCCTAGCTCCATATTTTCTTTTTAAAACATTCAAAAATAAAATATTTGTCACACGTATAAATTTTATTAGTAAAATAGAGGTTATGATTTATTTATTTTTTAAAATTAATTTTAACATTTTACTTTAATGAAATGTTTAAAAAAAAAGAGTACATATAAATATATAAGTAATATAACAATACTCTATTATTAGACCAACCCTATTTATTATTAAAAGAATAAAGTATATGCCACTTCCTTTTTAATTTTGTCCAATTAATCTTAAAAGATAAAGTATAGATTGAAAAGGGTATAAAGCTAATCTAAACAAAAAATATTTAAATTTAAAAAGAATAATAATAATTATTATTATAATATTTAAATTAAAAAGTTGGGAATATTCTAATAAAATGGGACAAAAGAGCATCAAGTTTTTCAAAATTAGCAATTTTTGTATAATATCATGTACTTTAGTAATTATAAACAGTCCAACTTTGAAATGAAACTAATTTTTTCTTTTTAAATATATTTGAAAGCTTTGAATACATATTTTTATAACCCTAAATGGCTAATTTGAAGTAATTGAGTTGATCACTTTAATTTACATGAGATTAAACCAATGGGTCTTTTCAAAAAAAAAAAAAAAAAAAAAAAAAAAAAAAAACCCAATGGGTTGAAATTACCCCAAGATTGAAAAAAGTTACATATATAGCAATGACCTAACACAAAATCAATAATGTATGTGTTGTATAAGGCAAATTATATTGTGTACTCCGGAGTTCACACTGCAATGTGGACTCTGATATATGTATGTTCATTTTTAATATATTGTAATTTAATTTTAGTAGGTTCTTTATATTTAGGTACAAGTTCATTTTAATGTATAATAGATTCGTTTTTAGTATATTATAAGCCAGCGTATTGTAATGCAAAGCGAACTTATAGTAAACTAAAAATAAACCTACATATACTACCTACATTATACTAAAAATGAACATATTGCAAGTCAAAGTGAACTTGTACTCAAGAGTTGGTCTTCCTACATGGACATTGATCCGTAGTATATGCGTTGGTTACATATAAATCCTAGGTTTCTTTTGTATTTCTCAATTACTAACCTTTTCTATTTTAATTTCTCTTTTCCAAAATTATCATTTATCAATCATTAATATTTTCATCTCTGCCTACTCATTTAAATCTAAATTCTAGAAAATAATTTTTTTAATGCCATAATTCCTTTCTTACTCAAATCAAACTTTATCTAGAGGAACTATTACATTTACAAGCTAAAATTCGAGACTTTAATTAATTTTCACAATTTTTTATCAACCTACCATCCAGGATGTATTTGAATTCCGATGAATATTATATTTTAGTGTAGGAGACTGAAGGTGGGATGGGGGTGGGGTATTGAAGCAAAATGGTGGTGGTGAGAGAGAAAATGTGAAAAGGGAAGGGAATAAAGAAGGGCATACGAGGTAAAAGAGAAGTTGATGGGAAATTCATGGAGATTATAAAAGATCTAGCCTTCTTCTTTTAAAAGATTGAATTCCTAACTTCTACACAATATTTAGAAAAAATGTAAATTACGATGACTCAATAGCTCAGCAGACATGACTAAATATCAGTGTACATAAGAGATTTATCCATTTTAGATATAATCCTACGAGGTTCGAACCTTAATATCTTATTCAAATACTGTCTACTGAACTATTGAGCTAAACCCGTGCGGACAGATCTGAACCTCGAAGATTGAGGGAAAGGACAAAGACACTGAAAACGAAACAAACTATATTTACAACCAACCAACCACAAGGGAATCCAAATCCTTTTAACACATTGATGAATTGAAGCGGCACATGTGATTCAACGTTGGCTGATCCAACTTTGTCGTGTGCTTCGCTTCTTCTGGAATCCCATGCATGATTATTTAGAGAGGGCCCGGCCCCAATGTTGCATCACATCTTAATTGTCTCTATTCTATTCCTATCATAAACACCTAACAATAACAATAATTACTTTTATTGAATTGCCTGCATGGAGTAACCATATACCAACCAAACCGACCGGCCTTAGCTTGTTCTTGTTCGATTCTCCAAGATTCTTTTTATTCCCTGCAAGTGCTTAATTGTATAATTGGCTTGGGACGACCTAGCTGGAAATATTCTGACTGAAATCATATATGCTTCAGACATACCATATCTATCAAGTATGAAAATGATCTATATGCATTATATTCATGATGCATCTTCTTTCCTTTTCTGCGGAGAAATGAGTTAAAACGCGATACATTTGTCCCTTGTGATAACCTATTGTAGACCGTTCACATTTCAAACTCTTTTTTAGGGTCAAATAGTTCTTTCCTGTCACACACTAGTCTCTCAATAAAAAATAATATTAATGCGTACTCAAAATCTAAAAAGTTGATCTCAAAAGATTAATTTGATAGGGTTTAAGTCTCCACAAAATTTTTTTGTAGAGTTGGTGTAAAATTGTATTAAAATGAGTTGTAATCTTAGTGGAAGAAACCAATTCTCTTTAACTAAAAATTTCGTCTTGTGAATAGCTAGAAATTAAAAACTCTTCATACAATAATTTGATATGCATATATGTAAATATGGAGTAAATAATTTGATGCCTACAATTTCCCTTCAAAAAACTCAGCCAGCATCCTTTCCAGATCCTCAGGAGTGTATTTGAGATACTTCTGGGGATTCTTGCTGTTCTCAATCATAGGCCTTCAGACAAGACATTTCAAAACCAGATGAAAATTGAATTATTAAGCCTTCTTTTTTCTTTCAACTCTTTGCATGTTATGTTTTTGGTTATGTAAAGTGGAAAGACTGATGATAAGGGAGGAGTTAACTCTTACCCAAAACGCTTATTGAAAGACCTAAAAGCCGGCAAGAGAACTTCAGCAACCGCCAGCCTCAACGATTCACGCAACTCACTGTCGGGAATTGTCCACTGAGATTGCTTTTGATGAAGCTCTTCAAACAACATGTTGAAGGTCTTGTACTTGTCTTTCACCATTGCCTTTGAAACACTGCTGGAGGCAGGAGAAACTTGGCCTTTAAATGAAGTGTTCCCAGCTGAGGAAAGTCCCTGAATGGATAGGCACTTCAAAGTCTGTAGATCAAGGATCAACCTGAGTTCTTGTCATATTGATACGAACCCAATTAGATTATATTGATAAATACTAAAATGAGTTTCTATGGTTTAGTTTGAGATACATTGTTACCCTGGCTAGAAGGAAACAAGTTAATAATTTACAAGGAAAAAGAGAACAAACTTGTTGCACATAAAGCACAGAGAAGTCCGAGAAATTGAATGTAGTATTTTGCAAATATTTGTGTTATAAGGAACAAAACCTTAGACCAAGAGATCCTCCTGTACTGTTTAGCGTGTTGTTGGACTACCCTTCTATGTATTTGCACCCAGTCATTGCCTAGCAAATCTTTTGCTTCTGACCTAAATTAAAACTCAAAAACAGTTATAAAGTGAAATATTACTGCTCTCTTTAAATAAAAATCACCAGAAAGCACTACTTACATGCGCACTGATCTTACAATGTAGTGTATATTGTTCATCATAAATAATTCAGTCAAAGCAGGGTCTTTGTACTGCTTGGATTTTCCATCCAGATTACTCTGAAGTGCTTGCATTATTCGTGTTACCATAGCCGCCAAATGGGCTTTTGCATCACCACCATCAAACTCCCGAAAAAAGTGTGTTAGAGTTGATCGATAGCTGTTCAGAGGTGTAATTTAACTTAGAAGCTATCAAGAGTAACAATTTGTAAACACATAGCAAATATCAATCAAGAATAGTATAACATAATCCATGGAGTAAACAACAAAACTAGCAACATCATAAGTCAATAACAAAATGTTCAAACCTTGGAAAAAAAAAATATAAAATACACAAAGAAAAGAGGTGATTAGACTTACTCGAATAAAAACTTCACATAATTGATCACATAGCTAGTTAATGGATGGACAGTTCCATCATCAACAACAGTTTTTGTGGCATCTTTCTCAACTGCTTCCTCAAAATCTGCTAAGGTATTCTTAGCCGTTTGAGCCAAACGTTTAGTCAAAATAAGAGCAGCTTGTCTCATTTCACTAAAATATTTGCTTCCAAATATTATATCAATCTGTTACCGACAGTAGTTAGAAGTGAGAGCGTAAAGCCATTAAAGACACAAGAAAGAGAGTAATAATTGAATAAAAGAGAAAAGTAGGAAGTAACTCTGCTCTACCTGTGGATGAAGTTCACTCATTATTTCATACATATCTAGAAGGACAAATAGCTTTTCAGGTGATCTTTTGCTTTTAGCAATAGCCTCTCCAATACTCAGGAGGACTGCTGCACTCTTTGCAGTAACCTCTGCAAAACATTGCTCCCTGAGAGCATCATGACCGTGAAAGATTTGATCACAAATTCTTTTTTCCACAGCAAATAAAAGATTGACCTATTAAAAGATACATAGCTTGGTAAATACAATGAAAAAGTAAAAGTAAAGATAAATCAGATGGGATGGGAAGAGAGCCACTCACTGAAATCCTCATAAAATGAATCCAAGTTTCAATTTTGGCTTCTAGGACTTCCCACTGCATCTTTTGAACATCCTCTTTACTTAATCCTTCCACACCTAGTTTTCTGAGGCTCTGTTCAACAAATGCAGACCTGATATTTCTGGATAAAAGAGGATACAAAAAAAGAAGGCATAGTAGTCAGGGGAATACAATGTTATGAATACTTAAAATGTATTTTTTAAAGGACCATGCAACAAAAATAAAGCCTCACATTTGCTAACCTTTAATCCCCATAAGATTGACTCAAAGTTATCAATTCTCACTCTTTTTTGGTGTTTTTAATGATTTTGTGCATAAAAATAAATTCTCAAGGAATCTCAACTGTGGATGAGACATAAGGGCAACGACGCTCCTTAACTGATGAAAATAGCCATTTGATTAAATATTTAAGCATAAGAACATGTTCCAATTGGGAACAGGATGGAATAGGAGTACCATGAACTAGTCTCAGAAACAACAAAATTCAAGTGGATTTATACTTTGGCACAACCATGACTGATACCCTCAAGTCTCAACTAATTGAAAAACATTAGCAAATATTGTTTTGAATTCGAATATTCTACTTTAATCTCTAATAAAATGTCCATTCCAGCTATAAGATTGCCATCCAATGTTCCAAATTTACCTGTAAATATTAAAAGCTTGCTGCTGGTGTCCAGAACGAATCATTAGTTGGGCCAGGTCATGAAGAAGCAGTAGTATTCTAGATGGAATCAGATCAGGAAGATGGTAACCCGCAGTTTTCAAACGCTTAGTTTGGTGCTCTTTTGTTCCACTACCAACATCTGGATTAGGTGATGCTGTTGATGGGTGTAGAGACTGGGGCAAACATTCAAAAAGACAATCTGGTTCCACAGGTTTGCTGAGATACATGAATGGCATTGACAAAGAACATAAGATGAATTGCTAACAAAAACCTCTCCAAGCAAATATCATGTGATGCATTCCCAGTAATCCAGTATATTAGAGAATGAGGGAGACGGCTAAATCAGTACTGGATGAAAGAGCAAATAAGTGATATAACTGACCAGTTTATTCTCTAAAAGTAACAAAAAAAAAAATATACGAATTTTAAAATGTTAACATGAAATATGGCAAACCTGTATGAGGTAAGAAGCTGCTGAAAGTCATCTTCTAGCTTAATAATAGAGTTTGCAAGTAAAGTAGTGGCGTAGGTGATCACCCCAACACTACTCTTAAGGTTGTTCTTACCACTAAAAGTTCTAACAATACTCCTTAACTCATCACAGGCCTCAAGATAACTTTCAGAATCCTCATGTGGCCCCCTCAATATTTTCGCCTCTGCCTGAAGAAAATTAGTAGCTCATGTAACAACTAACAAGAAAAATCTATTGCACCCTTTCATTTCATCAAAAGTTAATAAAGTCCTGCATCCACTCATAGTTCCATGATGCTCCTCCATACAAAAGTTAACAAGGTAGAGAAAAATAAGAAAACCTTTCGTGCTAGCTCAAACTGGCCCAAAATCACCTCTGCAACCTTAAGCGTCTTGCCAATGTTTTCATGCGCCCTTCTAATTGAATGTGTAGTTATCTACAATCCAAATGTATAAACGTAAATACCAGCCTGTTGGTATATACATTTATGTGCATAAAGAATGGACAATTTTACTTGAATTTACAATCAAAGGGTTAGTTAAACCCTTCTATTAAACATTTATGCACTTTCAGTGCAGAGATAAAGAGATTTACGCACACATATGAAATAGAGATACAGACAGATAGAAACATAGTTTGACCTGAGTGGGACGCATGGCGGTTTGGAGGGCGGAGAGGCGGTGATCGAAAGAGCCGAGAATGGTGACCATGCTATCTGTGGTGGTTTGGCTCTTGCCTATCGACTCCCTAATCAATGCAGCCCTCTCCTCTGGTGTCCCCATGGCTACCTCCACAGAAACCGCCGTTTCTTCTGATCAGATTTCTCCCTCTCTCTCTGATCAGAAGAAACTAGCTTATCGTCTATTGTTCTACAGGCTGCCGCCTTGGATCTCGCCTCCAAAGCTTAAAATCTTTGCTCCATTTTGACTCTTTAATTTCTTCCTTATCCAGTTTAAGCGGCAAAGATCTTTTCCGATTTGCGGCGCCATTTGGTATATAAGAATCTGATCACGATTTTCGTTACGATTGCCTTTGATATGAATAATAACTCTTGGTAAGGAATTTCCTCATACACTTGCTATACAAATAGATAATTATTTCCAAAATGATTTTACCAACACGTACCGTTGCAAATGATTTTCCGGCATGCATTGAAGTAATGACAGCATGTAACTGAAGAAGTTCCGTTACTTCTGAGAAAGGTTTCCGGCAACGGCATTTCGATTTTGTAGTAATTAGCGTCTCGGCAATCAAAATTGAATGATAGTATATCCCCATTTCAGCGAAGTATGAAGTAGGAACATGGGAATTTTTGCATTTTTACCGATTTAAATGTGAACTGGAAGTGTTTCCCGTTGGAGGAGAACTTTTAGTTGATATCTTCAATATAATTGAATATATATATGTTGCTACAACAATGTAACAACTATTAAAGACTTGGGAGTTTTTTTGCCTCAGTCCCAACTCCCAAATGCATCGTGTTACTAAAAAGGTTCGAAAGGTTGCCCTATTCGGGAATCTCCGGATCTATGCTTATTTTCAATTCTTAAGTATTTTGTGATGATTTTTACGCCCTTCCTCGTTTTTGGGTGTCTAGGTATCCACCGTAAGTCTTTTCTCGTTTGAACCTCGCCCTTCACTTTTAACGCTATGCCATCCTAAGGTGCTGCTAAATGGGTGGATCTTATCAACGCCCATGAATGAGAAATCATAGATCGAACCGTCGAATCGAAAAAATTGGGTCCTATCATAAAGCTTTGGATCGGCTAAGTTCAGGAGTTGGAGATAAGCGGACTCGAACCGCTGACATCCGTCACAGGGTAAACCACCGCCTCTCAGGTCCCGCGACTGATTCTACCATAGAGGCCAACGATAGACAATAATTCCCCCTCGAACATAGCTTACAACTTTGTCCCGCGACTGATTCTACCATAGAGGCCAACGATAGACAATAATTCCCCCTCGAACATAGCTTACAACTTTCATCGTACTGTGCTCTCCAAAGAGCAACTCTTCTCAAAATTTCACTCAAAAGGTGCTGAGTTGAAATCCTACTCTAACTAAGGATTTTTGTGGTTCCGGAGGATCCAACTATAGGAGAACCAGGAACGGAGAGCTTTCCCCCTTCCGCCTGACTCTTTGGTCTTAAGAACGCTGGTTTTAAGAATGAGTGATTGCCCTTCTCCGACCCTTACTGCCCAACCTAAGAGCGGACAGCTAATGCGTTCCACTATTATTATTTTCAAAACTTATATAAATGGTCTATGATTATCAATTTTTAAAGTTAAAATGGTCCTTCTGGTAGTCATTCTCACTCTATTCATTTTTAGCCGAAGTCAAATTTTCTCTCTTTATAATAGGGGTAAATTTATCTTTTCCTTAACCACCAACATTGACCCTCCCCATTAAAGACCAATGTTTTCCCTAATTTTCCTTTGTACTTCTTTATTGTCTCCTAATTTTCTTGTAACTTTAACTCTCGGTTTTCATCTTCTTTCTCTTCATCATTAAATTCCTAATGTCACCATTCTTCATCTTTTTCAAATAATCAGTTTATTTTGGAAGAAAACATAATGATTAGGTCATATGTATCCTCAAATTTCCAAAGAGAGTAAAGCAATTATGGCATAACAACCAATCATTATTGTGTCATTGTGTGACCATATTTTGTATATTGTAAAATAATATACATTCAATACAAAAATAATGTACATTGTATTCAAGGAATATACATTATTTTTGTACTGAGTATACATTATATTGTATAATGTACATTCAGTACAAAAATAATGTACATTCAGCATATTAAAAATGTACTTTTTGTTATGGTCCATATAACACTGTGTCGACCATAGTCCATACAATAATTTGCCCATAACAACACCAATGATTCAATGTAGATGTAGGCAACAATTAAAGTTGATCACTTCATGGAAAAACAAAAGTCTTGAGTGAAGATTTTTCTAAAACTCAAACAATATTTTTTTGAATGCTAAAACTCAAACAATATAATTAAACCAATAAGTAATGAACGAATAGGCAGGTTTACACTTCCAATAAGAAGACAACAATGAACACAGAGTTTGATAATCCAGTTCGGAGAATTCAACTCCTACGTCTAGGGGACATCACATGAAATGAATGTCTGATTCTTCATTGATCTCAAAAGAAGTTATATACCGAATCACAATGATGAACACAAGAATGTACAACTACAACTTAGCTAATCAAGATAAGCTCCTTCAAAGAATCGGTGTGAGATCTCCCGATCACCCAAATTGAGGCTCCCCTCAAAGACTAGCGTCAGCCCGTAAACAACAATGGATAAGATGATTTGCCATAATCATATAAAGAATGATCATATTATTACCTGAGTTAAAAGATAGCCCAGAAAAAAAGGAAGATTTATATCAAACCAACAGTCGTAGAACTCCAATGAAATTCTGATGCCATTGGATGTATGGCTATGCTCATGTTTACCTGCAGAACATATTCTGCTTAAAGTTCCCACCTGAAAACTCCTAATTCAAATATTTTTATAAATCAACAGAAACATTTTCAAGAACTGAGAAGTAAGAAAACTTGAATCCTCTAAGCAATCAAGTTTTTACTAAATAACTGGTACATAAAAGCTATTTTTCTACCATTATATTCGAAATCCTGGGCGGAGAGAAATTGTTCCAAAATCCCAACCAACCTAAAGCCAAACTGACAACTGAATAATACCTTTCCAACTACATCCACTTATGAATCTGCAATCCATCCTCCAGCGTATGCAGAGAATGCCATTGTAATAAGCACCCCTCTGAATCACTCACTTTTTCTCTATATGTCTCTCACAATCTTCACCGCTCTCAACCCTCGCACTCTTTGCCTCTCACCCAATCACCCCTCCTCTAACCCTCTCAGGCCTCAGCCTCACGATAAAGACTAACACAAACTTGTAATGCATTCAATCAAGAAGCACGTACACCTTATCATCGTCTAAGGTCCACCCTGTCACTCAACCTCATCTCTAGCATTTCCCTTCCCAGCCACTCAAATGAACTAGAAGTGAACAGATTATACCTCGTTCTCACATACTATACTAAGTAATGAATTAGTCACAAAACTGCAACCACTCAGAAGCAAACATTACAGTCAAACAAAACCTTAAAACAGCCAGTGACGAAGCTTCAATTCAGACTCTCATCTTTCCACGGATACCTAATATTATATTTCTCTCTATGAATCCAATTAAACCAAGGAGATTAACTTTTTCCTAAACCGCAACACCCAATCCCTAACGGAATTAATTATACACAACTATATATGAAGCCATTAATTGAGATGCTAATCTTCTTCGAAACAGAATAAAATTGCTAATCAACTGAGGAATTGAAGAAATTGCAACTAACAGACCTCGATGATGATCGAATCAATAACTGTTTATCAAACCATCAGCTTCGGAATTCCATTAAACCCTTATTGCTTCCATTTGCGCTAGCTAGTCTGATAGATAGTCTCAGTTCAACAACAAAAACTGAGAACGAAATTAAATGTCCCACATTGGAAAACTATAAAAATGGAAACCAAAATATAAGGTTCCATTTGTGAGAGTTGGTCACGATCTTACTTGAACAGGATCTGTTCTATAGATTCGTACCTCTGTATCCTTGAGTTCTAAGGAGACAGGAAACTAAGCCTGGTGGATGAGATATGGCCAGGAGGCTAGAGCGTGAATAACGGCACCGTACCTTCGCCGGGCGGAGCTGTAGAGGATCGTTCCCGGCCGTCTAGCCGCGGCTGGGATGGCCTCTTGGTTGTCTGACAGGCTTCCCATCTTTTTTTTTTTCTTTTCCTTTTCCATTTTCGTTGGTGGGTTCTTCCTAATAAAATGGAGCTGCAGAACAGTAGAACACTTTGAAACTATGTTTACTTTCATGCTTTAGCCTGTGAACAAGAAGCGTTTGTAGTCCAACGGTTAGGATAATTGCCTTCCAAGCAATTGACTCGGGTTCGACTCCCGGCAGACGCGTTACTTTTCCCTCTTTTGTACAATATTGAATGTGGCAGATTTATTAAGAGTCCGTTTGGAAAGCTGGAAAATGTTTTCTAGAAAATGAGTCATTTTCCGGAAAATGTTTTCCTTTCCGGTGTTTGGTTGCATTATGGAAAACTGTGTTGGTGTGTTTGGTTCATTTTCAGGAAAATGGGTAGAATTATATAAATAAACATTTTAATTATTTTATTTAGAATATAAAATAATAATAATAAACTAATTTTAAATATAATCCTACAATTAAAAAATAAGTAAAAAAAAAAAAAAAAAAAAACGAGACTTATTAAATGGTGTCCGGCGGAAACCAGATCTCTGGTTCCCTCGCCGGACGACAGAAACCATGACTGGTTTCCTCGCCGGCAACCGTGTCTGGTTCCCGGCGCGGAAACCAGATCTGGTTTCCGCCGGACGACGGAAACCATGACTGATTTCCTCGCCGGCAACCGTGTCTGGTTCCCGGCGCGGAAACCAGATCTCTGGTTTTCGCCGGACGACGGAAACCATGACTGGTTTCCTCGCCGGCAATCGTGTCTGGTTCCCGGCGCGGAAACCATATGAGTTGCTGCGGCCGGAAATTTTGGCATTTCCTTCTCGTTTCCGGCGGATTAAAGTGCTTAAAGATTGTGCTGAAGATGAAGAAGTTCCTGTTGAAGATGAAGACTGAGATGTGCTGAAGATGAAGATGAAGACTGAGATGTGCTGAAAATAAAAACTGAGATGTTGAAGCTTGGAAAATGACTTCCCCCAAAAAAAAGGGGAAGTTGTTTTCCAAAAAATTAGCCTCATTTTCCTTTGACCAAGCCTTATTTTCCATTGACTTAAGTTTTCCTTTGTTTACCAAACACAGGAAACCCGGAAAATGACTTTCAGAAATCATTTTCCGGGTTTCCAAACACACCCTAAGTGTCTTGTAAGTAGAGTGATCAAATTGTGGATGGTGAGCGAAGAAGACTTTGTTCACGGTACACAAAAAACTAGCATGTAGACTGGAGATTCAGAATAGAATCTAGTGAGCAAATGAGGGTTCACAGAATCCTAGTTGACCGTCTTGCCTGATTTTATTTGAGATCATCAATGAGCTTTGATGAAAGTGTAAAACCTGCAATCAAGGGTAGTTGCTGTTTGAAGTTAATGGGCACTTCTTTGCTGCATGCTTTAATTATCATATCTGCGGAATGGTGAAATTTATGGCTCTCTCAAAACTGCTTGAAAGACTACTCATTGTGTAAGCAGTACATGTCTATTTTGGGATCAATTAGCTGTTTCAGTGAATCCAAAATACACTTTCCAGTCCAACAGTTCTTATGTAACATAATGAAGACGAACTCCATCAATTAAGCACAAGGATTCCACGGTGATGCTTCGGCATTTTTCAGGCATGCTTGCGTTTAGTTTTTTAAAAGGGGTTTGGTTACATGCATATACGTGCTGGGTTTCTAGCTTTTTGTGCCGGAGCTTCTGTGTTATTGTTGGGAATAACATTCAAGAGGAGTAATGTTTGTGTTTTGCCTTGCTACTTGTCCCACATTGCTTTCCTAGAGACTCTTTTCCCATCATTTAAATGCCACTCCTTTTGGAGTCTTTGAAATGTTTTCAAGGGAGGAAAAAGGGGGGAATTCTTGTGCACACTACCGCCGCGGCCTGCTCGGCTCGTGGGGTCAAAGTTTTACGTGGCATTATAATTTTTTGTCCGACTTTTCAGCTATTTTACACATACAGAATAATTCTACGCGGTCAGAATTATTCTTGTGGACAAGAGGCATTCTAGTGCGTTAGTGGGCACATCTGAACGCAATTTGCGTTCCCCCCCTTTTTTCTCGACTTCTTGTGGCTGGTACAGGGGAGACAGGTATTCTCACTACTATAAATACCTGTCTTCCCAGACCTGTATTTTATACCTGAAAATAAGCTCTCAAGCTATAAATACTGTGATTGCGTATCTCTATAAGTGCAACAGAGTTACATGAGTACTTCTGTGTGAGCCAGTCGAAAGCTCCCGGATTAAGACTGCACAGTCTCTGGATATAAGCTTTTAAGGCAGTGTCCTGCACACGTCACAGAAACTATCCTACATATATCCCAGCCTATATCAATTGTAGTCCATAAAATCTACGACATTTATTATAAAAACCACAACAGTTAAAAGCTTATACATATAAAATGAAGATGTCGTCCCTCCTTTCCAAGCCCGCCGCTGAACTCACGAAGATCGAGCCGCTGAACGGTATAAATTACCGAAGGTGGGCTGTGAAAGATGATGGTGCACTTCGAGACGCACGAGGTCGATTATGTGCTCACCGGCTGTCCTTTCGGTCAAACCGCTGCAGCAACAACTCCAACAACACCAACCCCGGTCGGAGACGAGATCGAGATTGCTTCGACCGAAGAAACAATTCCAGATCCGGTGACACCAGATCCAAAGACGTCTGCGCCCGCAAAATCGTCTTCAACTACTTAAGATGTTCGAAACAAGTTCGAACGTGACAATAAAATGGTAAGAGGCATACTGCTTCAATACATGACCGATTCTCTTCTTGATATTTATGCGCCTCACAAGTCCGCGAAGGCAATCTGGGATTTGCTTCAAAAGAAATACGGGTCAGACGATGCAGGCCGGAAAAAGTATGCGGTTGCAAGTTGGTTAAACTACAAAATGGTTGACGGTAAGCCTATAATTGATCAAGTTCATGAATTCGAAAATTTAGTTGGGGATTTAATAACCGAAGGGGTTCCGGTAAGCGACACATTGCAAACTTATGCTTTGGTTGAAAAATTACCTGACTCGTGGTCTGAATTTCAAAATAAAATGAAACATGAACCAAAGTTAAGTACATGGGAAGAAATGGTGAATCACATAAACATCGAAGAGGCGTTTCGCCTAAGGCAAAGGTCAGTTTCCTATCCTGAAAATTTAAAGGCTAACGTTATAGAAACAAGTGACAGGTCAAAAACTGCAAACAATGGTAAAAATAAAGGTTGGCAGAAAGGCATGAAAGCAAACAACTCTAAAAGTTTCAAGGCGAACAGAAACCAAAAGTCAGGGAAAGGAGGTGTTTGCTATGTCTGTGGCAAACATGGACATAAAGCAGCGCAGTGCTATCACAAGAAAGGTGGATTTGATCAAAAAGGGAACCAAGGAGGACAAAAAAGCCAAGCAAATGTGGTGGAAGATTCTGAAGTTGTGGCAGCAGTCATAACACTAGAAGCCAACGTTATAGAAGATTCTGAAGAATGGATCGTGGACACTGGAGCGTCACGCCATTTCTGTTCAAACAAGAGTCTTTTTAAGAATTTTCAAGCAATTGCTCGAGGGCAAGGTGAACAAGTTTTTATGGGCAATGATAGCGTGGCCGAGGTAAGAGGTAGTGGTACCATAGAAATAAAACTATGTTCAGGAAAAAAATTGTTTTTAAACAATGTAATGTACGTTCCCTCTCTGCGTAGAAACTTGATCTCGGGGCCTTTATTAGTGAGGGCCGGGATTAAGTTAGTGTTTGAATCTGATAGAATGATAATGACTCGTAGGGGGGATTATCTGGGGAAAGGTTACATGCGGGGTGGGGGGGGGGGGGGCTTTTTGTGTTACCTTTCGTTTCAAACCAAAACAATACAATCAACATGAATAATGTGGCCAGTGGCACTGGCAGTTCTGCTTATATTGCTATTTCGTTTGACATGTGGCATGCTAGATTAGGACACATTGGTGTCAAATGCATGAATAGACTAAAGAACATGAACTTGCTAACTAATGTAACAAATGACATTATAACACAATGTGAGACTTGTGCTGAAGCAAAGTTCATTAAGAAACTGTTTACTTTAGTTAAGCATAAAACAACATGTGCTTTAGAGTTAATTCATTCTGACTTAGCAGACTTTAGAAACACAGAATCTAAAGGTGGAAAAAGGTATTACATATCCTTTATTGATGATTTTACTCGCTTTTGTAAAATATATCTGCTAAGAACTAAGGATGAAGCCGAAGATAAATTTGTTATTTTCAAAAATGAAGTTGAAAACCAACTAAGTATGAAAATAAAAAGGTTACGTTCAGATAGGGGGGGGTGAATATGAATCTGCATCCTTTAAGTCATTATGTGAAAAACATGGAATTATCCATGAAGTGACTGCCCCTTACACCCCTCAACAGAATGGCGTAGCCGAGAGAAAAAACCGAACTCTCAAAGAAATGATAAACGCTTTCTTGTTAAGTTCGGGAGCTCCCAATACACTTTGGGGAGAAGCTGCACTTACAGCGAACCATATCCTAAATAGAATACCCCACAAGGGGTACGATAACACACCTTATGAGATGTGGAAAGGATACTCCCCAAATCTGAAATACTTCAGAGTGTGGGGGTGCCTAGCGAAAGTTGGGCTTCCCTCGTTCAAAAGACCTAACCTTGGGTCTATGACTGTGGATGCAGTCTTTGTTGGGTATGCAGAAAAGAGTGCAGCCTATCGGTTCATGCTATTAGAAAACCGGTCCATAT